CCCTTCTGTTTGCTCAGCATGAAATACCTTTATGGGTTTCCTAAGATACAATAGATTCCCACAGCGCTTTGGCTTCTTCTGCCAGGGTTTAGTCTGTGCTCAGCTGGACTAAACCCTGCCCTCACACCCTGAAAGTTTTGGATATGGTGAAATTCTCAGGCAAGCTTATCACTTCCCACCTCCCCTTTCTTTCTCTGACACAATGTCCACTGTTTCCCCCCGGGAGTGGAGAGTCCGGGACAATTTTCTTGGTGGTATAACGCAGGACTTTAGGACATTCAGTCTCTTCTTACCCAGCAGGGAATTCAGACTTTTGGCCAACTTTAGTCATCACAAAGTATCCAAATCAGAATGTTTTCCCTACGTTCAGTTGTGGCACTTTATACACCTATATTTTGACCCCATCCGCCCCTCTTTAAAAAAAAAAAAAATCTGAATGTATTCCTAAATGCAGATTACTGGATATTGCATTCTTATAGGTATATTAAAAGCACCAGAGATCGTTGATCCAGGGAGTATCCGATTGCCTTATGGGATCAGGAAGGAATTTTTTTCCCCCTGCTGGAGCAAATTGAACTATGCCTAAAAGGTATTTTTTTTGCCTTCCTCTGGATCACAGTGGGTAACTGTGGGCACAGCATTCTGTTTTAGATTTTTTTTTTTTCTCCTCTTATCTCTACAGGTTGATGGACTTGTCTTTTTTCAACCCGACTAACTATAACTAAAAACTTATGGATTTTTTTTTCTGGCTTTTTAGGCTGCTTTCTACCTCTTAGTTTCTTTCATCCTCTTTCTCCTCATACATAGTTATTAAGGTTGAATAAAGACAAAAGGTCCAAACTCATGTCTGAATAAATTAATCTTTTTATTAATCCATATTAGAACATTTTCTTGAAAGCAATAATGCATCTGTCCACCTTGTTAAATTACAGTCATATTACATAGTATAGGTTCCATACACATTAGGTACTATAAAGTACCAGAGAATAATACAATCCACTAAATTAGTTGACATAAAGACAACGCGCTTTGCGAAAATGAGCCCCAACAGTCTGTGGACAATCAGCAGAGTCTGGCACCAGCAAGCGAGGGTAGGAAGACAGAGAAGATGCGTGCAAAACCCAAGTAGGGGCTTTCTGGGGAGATCAAAGCAAAACCAAACGAGTAACCACCTGGCTGGACTTTACCCGTATCACATATACTGATAATCTAAACTTTTCACTGGCCAAGGGAGCTTAATCAGCCAAGATGGTAATGTGCTCCTTCCCCTAATCCTTCTCAAGCACCCACATGGATATCTTCCCCGTGGATATCCTGCTGCCAAGTTCTACTGGTCAGTCCCGGTGGTGTAGAGGGAGGGGGAGGCGTGGAAGATATCCATGCAGGTGCTTGAGAAGGATTAGGAGGAGTACATGATATATTTACTGATGCAACAAGCTGGACAGATGCATTATTGTTTAAGATAATGTTTTAATATGGATTAATAAGATAATTTTTTTCAGACCCGAGTTTGTAAAAAGTTTCAGGTACCTAAAAAGCCCCATTTGATGCTATATGTTGTGATATTGTACTTGCAAGGGGTGTGGTGCAGCACTCTTTCCCCAGTGGAACCTCCAAAATGCATAACCTTACACTTCTTAATATTAAATCTCATATGCCATGTAGTTGCCCACCCCCCCTATTTTATCCAGGTCTTACTATAATATTGCTAGGTCTTCTGTCGAGTTTATTGCCCTACAAATTTTGGGATCAGCAAAAAGTGAAATATTGCTATAAATAGCAGTCCCAATATCGTTGATAAATAGGTTGAACAGTAATGGCCCAAAGACCAAACCCTGGGGCACACCACTGCCAACCAAGGACCATTCAGAAAATAAGCCATTTATTGATACTCTCTAGACACGTTCACCTAGCCAGTTCTCAATCCAAGTACACACCATTTCATTGATGCCCAAAGAGTGAAGCTTGTTAATTAAGCATTTATTGAGGTACCGTATCAAATGCTTTTGCAAAATCAAGGTACACTACGTCCACTGGCTTTCCTCCATCTAGGTTGCCACTCACCTCCTCATAGAATGCTAATAGGTTGGTTTGACGTGAACAGTCGTTCCTGAAGCCATGTTGATCGTCACTTATGATATCATGCCCATAGGCAAATTCTTGAATTTGGTCCTTTATCATACCTCAAATAACTTGCATACTTTGGATATTAAGCCGACTGGTCTATAATTCCCTTTTTTAAATATTGGTACCACAGTTTCTTCACACCAATCCAGTCAGCATGTAGTCCTTATAAATTAGGAACAATGGCCTAGCTATTATCGAGCATAGCTCTTTTAAGTACCCATAGGTGCAAGTTATTTGGTCCTTGTGATTTATTCACATTAAGTTTTTCTAGTCCTCCGCAAACCCTAGCTTCCATCAACCATAGCGGTAGTTTCCTCATCGTGCTACACAGATTCCGGTTGTGTTCATAAAACCCATAATTTTCCCGGAGTAAATACTGTGGAGAAGAATGCATTTAATACTTCAGCCTTCTGCCTGCCATTTGTGATCAACCTACCAGTCTAATCTTTTAATGGGACCCACCTGTTCTTTTACTTTTTTGTGTTGTTTATGAATTGGAAGAATTTTTTTTTTTTTACTGACTGGCAATACATTTTCTATTTTAGCTGCCCGGATTGAACTTTTACATTTTCTATTGCATTCCTTTTACTTATGGAAGGCCACTGGTGTCCCTTCCATCTTACATGTTTTAAATGGCAGCTTCTTAGTGATGAGTTGTTTTACATCGGATTCAGCCACTGAGCCTCTTTTTGTTGCCCATTTTTTTTAGTCCTTTTTCTATTCTTCTCGCTTCCCCTACCCGCTTCACCTTCCCCATTTAGCCATTCTGGTCCCATGTTTCTCACGGTCTTCTCTGTCTGTGGAAATGGAGTTTGTTGGGAATGCTTTCTTAAGACCACTACAGTAGGCTGATTGCCTGACCACGGTAACCATTGACAGAGCTATAGGGGTGACAGCGGGATCCCATGGATATCCCTTTCTTAATGTCAACCTTTAACCTGCATTTGATTTGTAAAGGGATGCTCCATTGGCATACTATAGTTTTCAGTGCATGTACTTATGATTGAATTTGGCTTAATAACATTTTTGTGAAATAACTGCCTGTGGACTCTGACCCCTCAGTTGCAGACACTTTGTCTAACACAGAGTCTCTAAAGCCCTTAGTGGAACCTACACCAGAGGAATCAGTTTTCTACCACTACCCCAAAACTTAAGATCATTTCAGACATTAACACTGTGCATCCCTCATTAAAATGACACTGAACTCAGGAGATAAATCCAAAAGAAATTCAAGTACCTTAACTATTAACAAAAATGTGGCATATTTGTGCATCATTGTAGATCCTCAAATCATCTCTGAATTTGTGGGGACACTGTCCTTTCTGGACGGTGGCCACTTTTGTTCCCCATGGTCAGTGAGTGTGTTATAAAGTAGCCACCGCACCATGTTCGTTTGGGGGGACCATGGGAAACAAAAGTAGCCACCCTCCAGAAAGAAAGACAGTGTCAGCATAAATTCAGAGATGATTTGAGGATCTACAGCTGCAGAGTGATGCACAAATAAGCTACATTATTGATAATAGTTAAGGCACTTGGATGCATTTTTGACATTTAACTCCTGGAGTTCAGTGTCATGTTAAGACTTGAGGATCAGACTGCAGCTTCTATCAGTGCTGTCTCCAGTCTTGGCTCTTTTAGGGTTTAAAGACTGCTAAGACCTTTCTGATGCATCCACTGTTCTCAGTCTGCTTTTATGAAGACTGGAAGAACCCCATTGTTGTTTGTCCCTACCAAACGTTTAGCAGCCTTGAACCAGTTTGAGAATTTTGCTAAAAAGTGGGCTGTCCCCTCTGTGGATTCGGCAGTATCCAGTCTTAAAGCATTGACCTTTCTTGTGGAGGATGTACCTGTCTTTAAGGTCCCTGTGGACAAATGACTACAGGCCTTTTCCAGATCTGTTCTTTATGATGGCTCATGCACCGAAAAATGTCCTGGCCATGACCTTTATTTACCAAAGCTGATTGGGGTAAGGCCATTACATCCACCATGGCAGTCGATCCCTTGAACATAGAGCATCTTGAACTCATGTCCGTGGCTTTGAACTACAGTGTGGATGGAATGCTGGAGGTCTCCAGTCTGTTCTTCCGGATGGGCCTCTGGTCAGTGAAGATGCGAAAGTTCCTATGGCTGAAGTTTTGGATTGCGGAACCTATGTGCATCAAGCACTTCCTTTGCATGCCTTTGGAGGTACTTAAAAAGGGACAACATCTCTTCGGTGCTGTCATGGACACAGTCATCAAGGATGCAACCAGAAGCAAGAGTTCCATCTTACCCAGCAGAAGAAACCTGTGCCTCAATCTGGGAAGACTCTCTCCACCAGAATCCTTTTCATTACTCTTAGACCTTAACTTCTAAAGCCAAGTCAAGCTCCCACATAGCCCGCAAACCCACTGCATGAAGGGGCAACCCCACTCTCAAAATTGGGGGGGGGGGGGGGGGGGGGCGGGAGGGC